CTCGATCGCGCTGTAAGACGAATTCATCAGACGGAACCAACACGAGTCTGTCCGCCGAATGTACGAACGCGGTTTCAGCCAAGTAGACCATCGGAGAATTCGAGCGTTTCCCGTGGAAAGAAGATGGAGGGAGACGACAACTCGGTGCTGAAGATGCATACATATATATGCACATGTACATACGAGAGAGAGAGAGAGAGAGAGAGAGAGAGGGGAGTTCGATCTCAATTATATATTCATAGCTGGAAAGGGCGCGTGCGCATGCGAGAGTGGCGGTGGAAGTCAATAGAAATGAAATATCAACTCTTAGGCCCCCCGTCGGTCGCGCCTCCTCCCCTCTTCACCGGCCGGACCGCCTCTCCAATGCGGGAGATCTAAAGTGTTTTTCGATATCTCGAAAAATACCACCGCGCCGCGGGCGGCGGCGCCCCTTCGCCTCGCTTTTATTTCGCCTCGCGGGCCGATCGCATGCGCACCGGTGATACAACTACCCTCTCGAGCGCGTCTCTTGCGAGGGGCGGAAATCGCCCGGTGGACCCGCCGCCGAACGCGCGCGCGCGCGGACGATAGAACGCAATCGTCGTAGCCTCGCGTATTCCTTACACGCGATACCACGGGTATGCGATTGCGGGTCACGCTGCTGCCAGATGCACTGAGAGAAAAGTCTATGATATTTGGAACTCTAATGATATAGTAACTAAATTATAGTTCGAAATCATCATCATATTTATAGTAAGTATTACCGTAATCTATCGGTAATAATTACGATACAGGCATAGTATAATCAACCATATAATACTTTTACCAAGAATTATAGTAAGTTAAAATAAAATTAATGTATGGATACAAATATAAAATGGTAGGTAAAGTAACTCTTTTATATAGTCTCAATATTACCAGAATATTTGCCAAATGATGACAGATGTAATTATATGAATATTAAATCTCGCTATATCTGTGAATGAGAAATTATCATATATATATGTGGTAAAAGTAACTAAACAATTATTTAAGACAATCATTGACTATATGTTTGTGTTTATTCTACTATATTTTGCAGGTTCGACGAACTATAGAAATATGGTTGACGCCAAAATGAACTATAAAATATAGTGAGATTATAGTTAATTCAACTATATCTTTCTATCAGTGTGGCAATAAATATCTGTATCAAGGACCTGCGATCGCGTAACAGACACACACACACACACGCGATCCTGCGCAACTTGCTCGCGACGTAACATGGGGTAACGCGCGTCGCAACGCAACGCGACGTGAACACGTTGGAATGATGTCACGTGGTTCGTGAAACGAACGAAACCGCGCGAGTATTTTTTGCTGATCGACCTGACGGAGACACGATATCATGGTTGAGCTTGGAATATCTAAAAAAACAAAACCCTTAACAAAAGCGGATCTATTTCTTACGTATACGATATACTTGCAATTCTGCGACTCGAGACTACGATTTAACATCTTTGATTACAGTTCGAACATCGCGAAAGATCGTACTTCGACTGGAAATCGTAGAGACCTGCGAGCACCCTGCAGCACGCTGGAGAGTGGGAGGGAGGGAGGGAGGGACGCGGTTTGATTAAAGAAATATACAGCGTCGTCGAGACGCGCCTTCGCGTCGTTCCCCATCGACACGGAGTTTCCATCGCTTCGCGCAAATATCCCATTTCTGCACACGCAAATCTCTCTCTCTCTCCCCCCCTCCCTCGTCCTTTTTCGTCGCTGTAAGTAGATCCGTAAATAACTTTATCATTCACGGCGATGCTAAGAGGCTTAACAGCTACGGCCAAGTAGTACAGAGTCAAGCTATCGCCGAGACCTCCGTCCCTTCTTCTGCCGGCCGAGCTTGAATATGAGATTACAAGCGGCGCGCGCTCGCTCTCCGATCGGCATTATCCGCGTTTTGTATAACAGATGAGACGCGAGACAACAATGTTGCTCGGCGCGGCCACGATCTCCGCAGCTGCAGCTGCCGCGCGCTGCTCGCGCTGGCGGAACGCGAAGACGCGTGGCGTGATTCCGCTCCTCGCGCCGCATTCCCACATAACGATGCGCATTGCAGCGCCGTCGGCAGGCAAGGCAAGGCAAGGCAAGGGGGGGAAGGAGGCAGTCGTTCGTGGTCGTCCCATTGTTAGACCATTTAGATATATTTCATCGGCCGCGCTGCGCGCACGAAGGAACGGCGCGCGAGCCTCTCTTGGAAATCGCGCGCCCGCGCCCGCGCCGCGTATGCATGCACGCTCTCTCGCTCGCATACCGCGCGGAATGTTATGCATCATGCAAAACCCTCGATGTATTAAATGATCCGCCGCTGGATTCGAATCTGATGGCCGCTCGCGCTCCTTTTGGTGCGACCCAGCACCGGTCCGCGCGCCGGAGTTTGCTCGACCCGCGACTTGTACGAGGTTTGATCAAAAAGTAAGGAGAATTTTGAAATTGCGCGCGCTGTATCTTGTTTATTCAGTTGGTTCTTTTTTTGGTGTGTTGGTAGCACTAGCAGTGACGTACGTGTAAATTTTCAGGCAGCTCTGCGACGCTTAGTTTGTGTTTGGCGAGCGAATGAGCAAGACGTACTTTAGTGTGTGCGTGTGTGTCTGTGTGTGTGTGTGTGTGTGTGTGGCGATTTTTGTACGTGGCGAAATGTCGGATCAGAGAGTTTGTCTGAAATTTTGTGTTAAAAACGGAATTAAGTGCAGCGAAACGTTCAAAATGTTAAGGAAGGCCTTTGGCGACGATTCTATGTCACAACCACGAGTTTGTGAACGGTACAAACGCTTTCAGGAAGGCCGAGAAGACATCGAAGATGACGCGAGGTCTGGGCGTCCACCTAGCACGTCCACCAGTGATGAGAACCAGTGGAAAAAGTTAAGGAGATTGCGCTTGCTAATAGAGGAATCACCATTAGAGAGGTTGCTGAAGAAATAGGAATTTCATACGGCTCATGCGAAGCGATTTTTACTGTTTGGAACATAAAACGAGTGGCGGTAAAATTTGTTCCGAAACTGCTGAATTTTCAACAAAAACAGCATCGCGTAACCATCGCAAGACCACCTTATTCTCCAGACATGGCCTCTTGTTGACTTTTTCCTATTTCCCAAACTCAAAAGTTCCATCAGTTTTCCTCAAACTGGGAACTACGTTGGCATAAGTGTATATAACATCACAGGCAGACTACTTTGAAGGAGATGGGATAAACATTGAAGATTAAATAAATAAATACTTTCCGAGAAAATTAAAAATTCTCGTTACTTTTGATCAAACCTCGTACGCCGCGAGTATCGACGAGTATCAAGCAGCGAGAGGGCTGTGATAAATATATAGAAAAGGGTACACCTCACCGATTTTTTTCATTTTGAAATATGTTATAAAGGATAAAATTCTGAGTGACTTCCTGATACAACTACATGGGGGGGGGGGGGTCGCTTATAGTTTCCGAGATATTTGATTTTTAAGTTTTGGAATTTTGATTATCCTGGAATTAAATTTCAGATATCATAAGCTGACGTTATTTACAGTACAATCCAAACAGTTAATCCAAACATTAGTGTATACATATACAAATATAGTGAAACAGTACATATAAGGGCTTCGCCTCTCCCCCGCACCCCCTCGCCAAAAAAATCCTAGCCTGACTACTAACTTGTTGCATCTTTATATATTGTTGGGCGATGTTGAAAAGATCTCCTTAAAAGCCACAACACCTAATTATATGCAGATATTATAATAAGTTAAGTTGAGCCAGCTGATAGATCTTAAGAGAACTTTTTTCAACAACATCCAAAAATATATAAAGATGCAATAAGTTATAGGTTAGGTTAGGATCTGTTTGGGGAGGGGGTGCGGGGGAGGGGCAGAGCCCTTCTCCCGCTTATATGTACTGTTTTTCCTATATTTAAAGTGAATGAAAACTGCTTTTGTCTACTTCAAATACACTTCCACGTACAATTAAGTATAAAACTTTAAAGTCAACTATCTCAGAAACTATAAGCGACCCCCGTATAATTGTGTTAGGAAAAGTCACTCAGAATTTCATCCTTTATAACATATTTCAAAATGAAAAAAATCGGTGAGGTGTACCCTTTTCTATATATTTACCAGGGCTGTCACCGAGCAGGTCGCTGCCTGTCACGATTCGTCCGTCATTCGCGTCGCATCGCCGTGGAAAATCCGAGATTCGCGCGTCCGATGCGTCGCAGGAATGTCTCCTCGGAGAGCGCAACGTTCCATTCGCGTTACGCGTGTTACGCAATAGAATACGTTCGAGTCGCCTGCGTTAATCGTCTAGTGAGTGTAGAAACACGCGTTTGATGCGATGCGTTAAATCCTTGCTTGCTTGAACTGTTGACGTTTAATTCGCGCTCGCATGGCACACGTGCGTGTCTATCTAAACTGAGAGAGAGAGAGAGAGAGAGAGAGAGAGAGAGAGAGAGAGAGAGAGAGAGAGAGAGAGAGAGAGAGAGAGAGAGAGAGAGAGAGAGAGAGAGAGAGAGAGAGAGAGAGAGAGAACAAGCTCGGAGAGAACAAGCGCATTCGTTACATCAGGCCCGTTCTTTCCCGCACAAGTGGTCTGCGCTCTTTGTCTTTAGAACGAGACGAGTGTATAACTTAGCGTTGAAGGGAGGAAAGGGACAAAGCTCCAAAGTGCAGCGCTGGTTTCAGCTATTATAAAAGGAACGGGGAGCCTGTCGTGTGCCTGAGGCGACCGGACGATTTTGCTTGGTGAAAGACCGGTGGAACGTCCGGGAGACGCGAGTCCGACGAGCAGGGGATGAAAAGCGCGTTATCTCGTCACCGATGCGTGTCAGTCAGCGCGACCGTGCCCGCGGATCGACAACTCGTGAACTCTCGCGGCAGCCTCGGCCCGGCGAATGCCGGCAAAGCCGGGAACTGAAGGCTCGGATTTTCCGAGGCCGCGCGCCTCTTAAATCTCAAGCGGGGAGAGACAAATGAACCTGCGAAGGTCATGCACAGCCGTGGCGACTTACCGTTAGGCGGGAACTCGTAGAAGAACGCGGATCTCGGGCTCAGACAACTGGAACAGAGGAAAATTACGGTTAAAATATGCTAACAATTAAAGGAAGCGGCGCGCCGCTTTTGGCGACCGCCAAAAGCGGCGGCGGCGGCGGCGGCGGCGGCGGTGGAGGCAGAGAGATGGAGGTGTCTACGCGCTTTTCCCGCCCTCGTTTCCCCCGTCGTTTGTCGTACGTTCTCGCCCGCGGCGACATAGTTCGCGGCGAAATTTCCGGACAAACAGCCGGTCGATATACTTGACGGCTGGTCGCGTGTCAAAGTGACGAGTATCGATGTTAAGCGTAATAGAGTGACCGGTTGTCGGGATTTAATACTTCCTTTGACGAGCTGAAATGGAGTATCATCCTGCGAGCGCATTTCGATGCTTCGATTACGCGCCGATAATGAATTTACTGGTGTTTGAAGAGTTAATTTCCATTTAATTGCTATGTAATATGTATTTGGCTTCTCGCTCGCTCGAGAGTTTAGCGCGGTCATTTGTGTAACGTGTAAAATAGCATTTACGCGGATATATCGAGCCGTCGTCCGTTCGAGCGGCGTTCTAGTTTTACGGGGGAATTTGTTTTATATATATTTCGCGATACATAGTAAAATTTTGAGCGAAAACGCGACAAGGAACATCGCCAAGTTCGTCAATTGCCGATGCCTTCCCTCTCCCCCCCCTCTCTCTCTCTTTACTCTCTCATTCGCAGGTAACGCGCACATCTCGAGTAATTATGCAACGGCGTCCGCAAAACAGTTGGCGTCGAGAGCGGCAGGATTCGACATTTTTATATTTTTTGGGCTTTTTCGGGCGGTATCTATGCTACATGGTGACAAACAAGCAAAGATTACTTCGTTTTACGCGGCCAAAATATGATTTCCCCACGGGCGACGGCGTGCCGAATTATGTACCGATTGTCAAAGGCAACATTACAGCGCGCGCGCGCGCGCGCGTGCGCGGTTTAACGGGGCAACAGGATTCTGTGTTGCAAAATTGCGGAATTATTATGTCGTTATTGGGACGAGTTTCTGCAGCGCAGTCCCACGAGCGCTCGTTGTTGTCCGCTCTTGTCCCGAATGGCCGCAGCACAATTTTTCCCCAATTCTTCTTTTTTCATCGCGCGACTTGTCATGAACGGAACGGAAGAGATCAAAGTGTGTTTTACAGGCGTTTAATTGACCAACAATTACGGCCGTCGGACAGTCCATTCGTAGACGTGACGGCACCGCTTCCGGAATGCGCGCATGCACGCTCGAAATCACGCGAAGGTACCCTCGCGGGCAATACAAAGAGACAAATGAGACGGGAGAGATAAAGAGAGGATGACAGAGCGCGGCGCGTTTAGTCCTCTCGTTAACGCTTTAATTGATTCGCCGTGTTTGCGGTATTGCGCGTCTCCGCGCAAATAGAAGCACGGACAATTGGTAATAAATAGCAGCGGGATAAAAATCGATGACACTCGTCTGTATAATTTATGACGAATAATTAAAACATCAATGATGCAACGAAACAAGAATAGGCGGTGCTTTCTGCTCTCAAAGAAAGAGATGGGAAAATAATTGTCGCTCGACGCGCTGTTCGATCGAAAAGCCAATGGCGTGCGTCTGTGCAATTAATAAGAAATAATTGTCACGTTAATAACGTATAACGAGACATAACAACGTAAAACGATATTGTTCTTTATTTATTTCGATAGTCAATAATCGATAATTAAAATATCAATGACGCAGCGCGACGTGAGCAGACAAGGTATGTTCTGGCTTCGAAATTCGACACGTCGTCCGAGCGAAAAATCAACGCGGCGTTAGCTTGTACAATTATTAATGAGAAACGATCGAATATAATAGATAACGTAACGGTACGAGACAATGGTCGCTCGTAGTCTCGCAGGAAGAGCCGGAAAAATGAGGAGCTCTCTCGCCGGCCAACGCGCCACGTTCGATAGAGCATCACGCGTGACGAACAAGCGAGACGCGCACGGACAAAAACGGCTCATTTTATTCGAGTCGGCGATCTGATTAGTGACGAGGCCGCTTTCCGGCGGACGAAGCGCCGCGGAGAGAGAGAGAGAGATACGCTAAAGTCCGATACGCGGCTCTCGGAGAGCACGCGAGGCCTGCTCGTGGTGTCGTCGTGAACGCCGACGCGCAGTGAACGGTGTTCTACCTGGCCAAGGTATTTCAGGTATCCTGCCGTGGCAGCAGACACGCGGCCGATCTCTTACGGTAGATCACGGCGGAATGCGCGCACTGCGATTCCCAGCTAACGTTAAGGGTCGTGCCAGGAGCGCGGGCTAATCGTCTTATTGACTGATCCCCCGGCGTTCTCTCGATTCTATCGAACGTACCTACAAAGGCGATCCGCGCCGTAGGAAGTCGAGAGAAGTGCACGCACACATACACACGTGCTCGGAGTGCTCTGCCTCCGTATTATGTATGTGTACGTGTCAGAAGAGCGAGAGAGGGCGAGCGGGGTGGGCTCGGGGGGTAGAATGGTCCGCGGGGTGGAGAACGGCGAAGAGGTCGGTAGTGTTGACGTGCCAGAGAATCGGTAATAGATAGCGTCGTTCCGCCTCAACGTATATCCTGATACACCGCGCCGTAATACTAACCGCATACTAATAGGATCCTTTGACGAAAAGCTAACATCTCGGCGCGCGAGCAAACCGCGTTGCAATTCCGCTTGGGACATTCCGGGCCGCCTCGTCGCGTCGCGTCGCGTCGCGTCTCGTCTCGTCTCGTCTCGTCTCGCTTCGCCTCGGCGCGGAGGCGGCGCGGTGATGGTCCTCTCTCTGCCTCTGTCTCCGCTCACGGTCCACTGTGTGGAGTCGATTGCCTTGAGTGGCCTTTGCCCCCTCAATGGATTCGTAATGGAGACCGTTCACAACGCGGCGCAAACGAATAGCGTTTCGTCGCCGCGGCCAAAAGCCGCCGCCGCCGGCCAGGATCAGCGCCGCTCAGAGCGCTCAAAGAGGGAGCGGTCGCTTGTTATAGGCGACGCTAATTTCGCGACAGAGGAAGCTACGGTACGACGCCAGCACGCGCGGCTGCCTCAAACGTGTCTCATGTATTTTCCGTTAACGATCGACGTTGTTAATTCCGACGAAGCTTGAGAAAGTTCTTTTTAACGAGGCTTCTCGGCTGTCGCGACTTTTTGGACTTTTAATACGGCTGTCTTGGGATTGCTGACGACACGGGAGTTGAGGCGAAATTTTTAATTGAAACTCTCAATCCTTTCATTAGTCGGCGCGGCGCATCGTCGTGACAAATGTTTGTCGGTCTGCGGAAGGTACTCGTCGTACCGAGTCACTCGAATTCTTCGCTCGTACTGAGCGAATCCTCGATTCTGAATCGTCGAGTGAATAGCTTCGCTCAGAACCCAAGAGCGAATCTGACGCATTCCAACGTCACAGGAACACATTCGCTATAATCGATTGGCACATTCGATCATATCGAGTCAGGACCCCGCTGAGAGTTCGAGCGAAGCGTTCGCTCTTCCGGTTGCCCGAGTGGGATTTTCACCGTGTCGCTCAGAGCGAAAATACCGCCACTTTTTTCCCACCGATTTCCAAGCACGAGACCGTGCTTCAAGAAATTCAGAGAGCATGGTAACTACAAGAGAGATATTTCCGCGAGAGAAAACCCAATATCTCCTTTAGTCGGCCGTCAAAATCGATCGCGCATCGGGCTTTTCCTTTTCTCGCGAAGCTCGCGCGAAGCAGCGCCCGACTTGTCGGCGGGACTGATTGCTTCTTCCGTGGATAGCGGCAATCGCTTCAGAGAGTCGCTAAGAGAGTCATGATTACCGCGGCGAGCGGAAAGAATCGGCAGCGCGCGCGAGTCGTGCGGCGCGCGGCGGCCGACGCAAACGAATGGCGAAAATGGTTTCCGCTCGCGGCGCGCTCGCGCGCCAAGAATTTCGATGAGGCTGTCGCGAGGGCTGCTCTCGCTCTATCTCGCGGCTGCCCCCTCCTTACGTGATTGAAAACTGAAGAAAAGCGCGCTGCTCCATTCATCTTTAAGTTGTCCGTCGCGCCGAGAGCTCGAGAATACTCGGGCATGCAAATTCCTTCCTGACGAAGTCAGCGCGAGTATATATATATATATATATATATATATATATATACACACTCGAGCGTTGTTCCCGTTGTTCTGCGCGTTTCTCGCGCGCGAGCAATCTCTCCTTCGCTCGCTTCTTCAGAGGCGCGGAGGATGGACTTTGTTGAAAGGCAAAAGGAAAAAGAAGGAAAAGGGAAGTAACTTTTCCTAGGACGTTTGGACCGCTGTGGCGTTTCGGGGAGATTAACGAGATAACGTTGCAACGAAAACAGCGCCGAACTTCGGAATATCCTCTCTGGATGTTTGCGAAGTCTTATTACGCTCTCGCTGACGTTTCTTACGCTCCTCGCGATCCTCCGGTATTTTCGCGTTCTTCTCGGCGCCTCGCGACTTGAGCGCGACGCCATCGGCGGCGGCGATCGTCTAATTCGGTGGACTCGATAAAAACCGATATCGCGTAAATGTATCCTGCGGATGGCCGGAATTGTAATGTTGCGCGAATAATTTGCGTCGGAATTTATCGGCGACTCTCGTGATTATTCCCGTTGCCTCCCGTTAATTTATTTACGCTCGGCTCGAAGCAGCCAGCTAGCTCAAACGGGGACTTTCAAACGAGACTCGCGCACGCGTGCGCGCATTTTTACGCGCAGGCGGGAAAGTTCGTTAATAATGATTTCACGCTTGGGAAAAGATAGACACTAGAGGCTTAACTTTATATACGCAAAACACGACTAATGGCAACTGACCGAATTGCAAACTGGATGATGCGTGCTTCTCTTTTTCCCTCCACTTTTTACGAATAAAGACACGTCTGCGGGGGGGGGGGGGTTGACGCTGAATACGCGACTCGCAGTTGACGAGGTGAGGACATAGAAACGGCACGTATCCGGCATGCTGCATTAACGTGATTCCGGTATAATCACGCGCGATACATTTGTAATAATGAATAAATTTGCGAGA